TAGGTATTAGCTTGAAATTTAGACTTGATCTTAAGGACACAGAGACATGATTGTACATGTGTGTGTTTTGCTGTTGTTCTCTTGCCTGAATGTGACATAAGACCCACGTTATACTAATTTTTTCTGCATGATTAGACTAAAGATAATGGTACATTGCAATTTCATTAACATATTTAAAGTTTACACATTTATCTGTTTATACATGATTATGTAATGTAAACATACAGGATCTATTAAGTTCTCTTAACACAAAACTTGAGTAATTTACCATTTTCATAGCAGTTATTGTGAGGATACCATCTGAAGACATGACTGGAGTGATGCTCGTTATGTCAGTGCGGTGAGGCAGGGAAAAGCGGCGTCTGAAGGAGTGTGACGAGACGGATGAACTTCCTTCCTCTTTCTCTACGCGTCCTTCCACCACCAGCTCCTTCTCGTCTACGACTTTCACCTTGACGTCTCCGCACATGAAGTCATGCACGTCCACTACGATCTATGAAGTTGAAATGAATTTGCTTGTTTTTCAAGTGAATGAAAATAATAGTCATGATAAAATAATTCTAATGGTAATAATAATAACAATGTTAATAATGGTAATGGTAACAATGATAATAACAAGGAAAAGGCAAAATAAAGAACAAGTAAACTAAATGGAATAATGATGGTCATGATATTTGAAAATCTACAATCCTCAGTGCAGAAGTATATATTAAGTAATGAGAATCGTGTACTAAGAGTAAAGCATAAAATGCTTTTTAATCAATAAAATTATCTCAAAAATATTAGACAATGGTGAATCCTAATACACAGAAAGGGGACTGACCTTGATCGTAGCATCGTCTGACAAGACGGAGAAGGCCTGGTCCTCTTCCCTCATGTTTCGAGATCGAAGCTGCCTGTAGCGGCTTAGGATGCCCCTATGACTGATATCGTCTGTCACCGTGAGGTCGGAGTCATTGCATTTCTTCAAGATTTCCCTGACAGAGGCGTCGAAGCCTTGGCGTATGTCGGAGAAGAATGAGTCTTGGAAGAAGCTTCCTCTCCTCGCGATGGGCAAGAAATCATCTTCCAAATTCCCAAGAGTTTTCTTTGCTTCCAGAGATTGGAAATTCTTGTGGAAGCAAAATCTGTGATGCCAGACGATTGCTTCTGTAATGATTGTTGTGTGTTGCTAGAGATCTTGGAAGCTACAGTTTGGGTCTTGTCCTCGTCGATATTTTCCTGATAGCATCGTGCGTATTTGCGTTCCTCCTCTTGGCCTGTGTGGGATATTCCTTGGCCAGATGCTGCTTCCTCAGAAACTCCCGAGGTCGTCGAGGAAGTTGAGCTGTGAACTTCTGATGCATTGTGCCTTTCCTTGACGCTAATGGGGATGACAATAGTCTTCTGTTGTGTTTCACTCTCCTGTTGGTTAAGATAGACGTATTAAGCATGCAGATGCCTGTTACACTTTGAATTCAGTTATGTAAAATCTTCATAAGGCATTAATGAATTGCAAGAAAAACTAGAACAATACCATCTTGGACGCAGTGATTGTGAGGATGCCATCTGACGACATGACAGATGTGATGGACAT